TTGGTTCACTATAGTAAGGTATATTTTAATATATTTGATTTAAAAATTCACTATATAAAGAGTTCATTATATCAAGGTTTAACTGTATTTCAAAAAAAAATTTTTTTAATTTTTAAAAGAAGATAGGAAATATATACTATATATAAAAAAAAGGGTTACATTACTTAAGCTATCTATAAATAACAGTGATATACATATACATTATATCATATACATTATTTTTTTTTTTGCTTTTTTTCTTATACTTTACTATTATAGAAAAGTATTAAATATTTAAATTTATAAAAATTTATTGCAGTTTTAAAACAATTTAGAAATTTTAATACAAAATATTCAAAAAATATAGAAACATTATTGTAAATTAATGTAAAAATATAATAAATCTTCATAAAATATGATATGCTATAAAAACATATTACAAATGATACCTTTCTTTAATTAAGCTCAGATTATATTCTTTTTTACCAACTTTCTTCCTTTTTCAATCAGGAATAACCTTAGGTTTAAATTTTTCTTATCCTTAATAATAAAATTAATTTATGTTTACATCTTGATTCTTCTATCTTGAGTCATTTAATAAATTCATTTTGTATATAATCATTTAAACCATTTCTAATAATAACTGTTAGATCTAAATAAAAAGCTAGCTGTGAAGCAGATTTCAACTTTGCTACTTTATAACATTTCTCAAATTTAGTTAATTTGTCCGAAACATAGCTGAAGGATATTATCAGACAAATGTGCATGATGCAATGTATATCTGTCATGCTACGTGATTGTTTAATTAGTTTTTGTTATTTTATGTCACACTTCACTTTTGCGTTTTAACTGATTGCTTTTTTTATTTATTACTATTTTATCTACATAAAATGTGTTTTAAATTTGAAATTTGATGTTTTTTTTTATTTTTTATTGTATTAAGCTTTATTTTATTGTAATATTTGATTATTATATTAAAATAATAAAATAAATAAATTAAATTAAAATTACTCTTTTTTGTTTGCTGATTAAATTTTGCATTAGAAATCTGTTTGTATTTTTGTTCATATATACATAATTTTTGATTGATACCCATCCGCTTTCTAATACTCTTCATAAATATAAAAGCAAAGAAAATAAGACTTCTGACAGACATATGCTTTATCAGAAAACTGATAGTTTAAATAAATATGTGCCTACTTTCACTTTCAATCGTAATCTTGGTAAAATTTGACAATTATTCTAACCTCGCTATACTGACTAAAGATAATAAAAAGCTTGTTCTAATTTTGCTGATTAGATATACTTGGAAAAGTAAGAAGGGCTCTTACTCTTACTTACAAATACCTTTTTGTCTTACATAGTCAATCACAGTTCATAAAAGTTAAGGCCTTATATTGGAAAAGGCTGTGATAGATTTTGGAAAAAAGGAATTTGCTGCTAACCTCTCATTTGTGATAATATTTCAGGTCTGTACTCTCAAAAATATCCTTTTAGACTATTTTCTTTTGAAAGACTTCAATATATTAAAACTTGTAAGAAGCTAAAAGAGAGAATAGCTGAAAAAAAGCGCTTAATCTCTATATCTCCTAATATGTGAAATATAAATTTTCTTTATAAATAAAATGTAAATTAAAAATTTTTTTACAAAAAAGATATCTGATTATCTTGGGTTATTAATTACTTTTAAATTTTTGTATTATTTATTATATTTTGTGATATGTTTAATTTGTATTATGTTTACTTTCAAATTTCTGATGTGAATTAATGTTTCAGATATTTCAACAGTCCCTGTTCCCTAGTACTGTACATAATTGTATATTATCATTTTGATAATCCTCTTTATGTTTTCTAAATAATTAATAAATTTAAAGATACAATATTACTTCAATGCTTTTTTTATTTGATTCTCTATAGGATTTAAATGCTTAAAGTTTAGAACATTTATAATAATATAATGTTAAATTATTAAGGAATAAATTTACAAATCTATATTCAATATTTATGTTTCTATTTGATATTTTTATTTCATTTGTAAACCTTCTTGAGTGAATTTTGTACGTAATGATGCATAAAAAAAATTGTTTTCTGCAGAATAATCTAAAGAAAAAAATTAAAATCTATGAAATAAATTATAAAGGCTTTTCTTACTTACTTATCAAGTATAATATAAGCAAAAATCATACGGTTATCAGAAGTCAAGAACAACAAAAAATTGAATGTAAATAAATAAAATTTAACTAAAACTATATTTTGATACTTGCAAGATATGCCAATTATACTAATAGAACAAATATAGATTTCTATTTAAAAAGAAAAAAATAAAATTTAAATTATATTTAAAAAATAAAAGAAAAGCAAATGTGTTTAATATTATTTACCAATTTTACTATTCACTATATAAAATTGATCAGCATTTTGCATATTTTCTACAATAAATTCGTTTTTTATGTTATTTTTTTAGATAGTATTCAATTTTATAGTATTTTAGCTAAAACATAAAAAATGTTTTATGAGTTGCAAATATCCTGGATGTATATGTGCAAAATTAAGTAATCAAAGTATATAAAATCTCTTCATATCATTATAATAAACTGGAAAATTTGCATATAATTAAATGCTTGTATTCTGGTAAATACTATATCTTTAGTATTCCAAAACTTCTCTCAACATAATCATTAGTATTATTTTCATGCATATATAATTTAAAATGAAAAGAGAGAGTTCTAAAATAACGTCATTTTTATAGAAGTTCAAAATGCTTGTATAATTGAGAATATTAGTTATAAAATTTTTATTTAAATTTATGATAATACATATGTATATCTGAGCCTGATTATATATAAAGGATTTTTTGCATTCTGATATAATAATCATCTGATCTTCTTTCTTTATATGATAATTCAAATTATAAAGCTACTTTCAAAATGCTTGTAGAATATAAAATGTATATAGGAAATGAATTTCCAATTTAATAAATTTAAAAAAAAGATTATTAATTATTAAACTAAAACAAAATTCAATTTGAATTTGAATTTGAAAAAAAATCCTTATCCTCCAGTTCTAAGATATTAAATTACTCTACATAGAGTTGCGAATGAGTCAGATTGAGTGAATTTTTGTCAAACTTAACTCAACTCAAAAAAATCGAGTCAAATCGATCAGGTCAAAAATATTTTTAAACCTCAACTTGACTCAACTCGAGTTATTCGTTCCAATTGAATAATAAATCATTATTCTAAAGAAAAAATAAAAGAATTGTTTTAAAGGAATGATAAATAAAATTGTTTCAATAGAATGATAATGCATCATTCTAAAGGAATAATAGAAGAATCATTCTGATAGAATGATAAAATATTATTCCAAAGGAATGATAAATAAAATCATTCTGATAGAACGATAATGCATCATTCTAAAGGAAGAATAAAAAGAATCATTCCAATAGAATGATAAAATATCTTTCTAAAAAACAATAAATAAAATTGTTCTAATAGAACAATCAAATATCATTCTAAAGAAACAATAAATAAAATCATTCTGATAGAATGATAAAACATCATATTAAAGGAACAATAGAAGAATTATTCTGATAAAACGATAAAATATCATTCTAAAGAAATGATAAAAGAATCATTCTGATAGAATAATAATGCATCATTCTAAAGGAATAATAGAAAGAATCATTCTAATAGAATGATTAAACATCATTCTAAAGAAACGATAAAAAAATTATTCTGATAGAATGATAATAAATCATTATGATAGAACAATAAAGTATCGTTCTAAAAAAAATGATAGAAGAATTATTCTAATAGAACAATGAATGAACAATCGTTCTTTTTGGAATGATAATCGAATCATTTCTTAAGAATGATAAAGAATCATTCCTTAAAAATGATAATAAATCGTTCTTTTTGAAATGATAATCAAATCATTTCTTAAGAACGGTAAAGAATTGTTTCTTAAGAATGATAATAAATTATTCTTTTGGAATGATAATTGAATTGTTCCTTAAGAATAATAATAAATCATTCTTTCAGAACAATAATTGAATTGTTCCTTTAGAATGATACTTTTCATCGTTCTATTAGAATAATGCATTATCATTCTATCAGAACGATTCTTTCTATCATTCCTTTAGAATGATACATTATTATTTATCAGAATGATTCTTTCTATTATTCCTTTAGAATGATGTATTATTATTCTATTAGAATGATTCTCTTACTCATTCTTTTAGAATAATATATTATAGTTCTATCAGAATAATTCTTTCTATTATTCCTTTAGAATGATATATTATCATTCTATCAGAATAATTCTCTTTATCATTCCTTTAGAATGATGTATTATAATTCTATCAGAATGATTCTCTCTATTGTTCTTAAGAAATGATTCTTCTATCATTCCCTAAAAACAATATACTATCGTTTTATCAGAATAATTTTTTTTATTATTCCTATAAAATGACGATTTATCATTCTATCAGAATGAAACTTCTATTGTTCTTTTAAAACTATGTATATTATTCTATCTGAATGATTTTATTATACTTTTTTTAAAAAAAATTTGTTAAATTTTTCAGCTCAACTTTGGGCTCGAGTTTAGCTTGAATTATCTTGAGTCAAATCAAGCTTAACTTGAAACTCAACTCAAGTTAAACGAGTCAAATTTTTTATGACTTGACTTAACTCAACTCAACTCAACTCATTTAATTCGAAAGTTAGCTTGGCTCATTCAGAACTCTAACTCTATATACTTAAATCATCTGTAATCATCAGAAAGTTAAATGTATGTGAAACTGCGCATCATTAAGTGTCATATATTGATCAACATCAAATTACGTTGTGCTGCAAAGGCAACGCAAAACAAAACATCAAAATACTAACATCAATCAATATGTAAAATAATGTATTATGTAGATCAATCAATAAAACAATATGTAAATTTATATGTATTATAGTATTTTTGTATTATATTATTATTTATTTATATAACGCAAATACAAATTAAGAAATTATTCAATTATCTTCATTATCGTCACTAGAATTATCACTTTCTTCATTATTATTATTGCTATCCATATTTTCATAATATTTATTCAAATTATTACTCACTTGATTAGATAAATCTTCTGATTGTTCTTTATCGTTATATTCAAACTAAAATAAAAAATATTAATAAATATATTAAGTAAATATTAACATTAATTTTACAAAACCTACCAAGCTTCATATAAATGGATCTGAATTCCATTGTTTCATATGCTTCTGTACCTTTAATGTTGAAATTTTAGCTTGATTATATGATAGATCTAAGAACATTAAAATTACAGTTACATCAAATATAATATTATCCTTATGTTGTAATTCTTCTTTGGAGAATGTTTTTTGTAAGATGGCTTCAATTATATAAGGAGAATCTGGATCATCGTTATCAATTTTATTTTTGAGATTATTTCTTACTTGTTTGACTCTTTCGGATTCTTTTCAAGATCTAACTTCTTCAGAGCTAGCAAATTGACTAAGCTTATCAGAAAATAAATTTGAAAAGATACAAGTAGTATCTTTTAGTTTGCGAACACATGAACTTCTGAGATTTTGAAAGTATTCTAATGCCTTATATAAAAATAATATCCTTAATTCATATGATTAATAAAAATTAAAAATGTTACGATTGTCATATATTACCCTGAATTATGTAATTAATAAAAATATACAATAGAATGTCCAGCATTCCAAAAATTATCCCACCCATCCAAATTAGCAAGCTCTTGCATTTTCTGAGAATAGTTAGTTTGAACTTGTTATTTAAAAGCTTGCTTGATATCTATATCTAATAGGTTTTTGTTTTCTTGAAACAATTGGTAATATGCTTTCATCATAGGTGTCTAAAATAAATATAATAGAATAAATATAATAGAATTATTATAAATGATACACAAAAAACAATTATAATGCTTAAATACTTACATCCTATCACATATGTTTTGTATCTTTTCTCTTTAACCATTGTTTTGGCTGTTTTTCGTTCATCATGGTTAATGACCCTGATGCAAATATTGTGAGAACATTTTTGATATTTTTTAAAAGCTTGCGATTTTCAAAAATTTCATATTGCAAAGTATCAATCATTATATTTTGCTTTAACTGTTCTTCAAGTATTTTATCAAGTATAGATTGAGCATTTGCATCAAGTTTGAAACCTAAATAGAAGGAAATGTAATGTTAATTAAAATTACTTCATTTTAATAAATATAATGTTTTATTAAAAATATCTTACATTTCTTGGTGAATCACTAAGATCATTTATCCTCTTACGCTTATTATTAGTCTCTTCTAAATCTTTTATTATGATATATTATTAATACAGATCAGGAAATTATAATTAAATAAATTTATAATATTCACCTATGGATTGTAATGCCCGTTGTGTTGATGTAGAAGCTGATTTGGATGTTAAAGTAGAAGCTGCCTTGGACGTGAATACAGAAGCTGCCTTAGATGTTGATACAGAAGTTGCCTTAGATGTGGATACAGAAGCTGCCTTAGATGTTGATGCAAAAGCCACCTTGGATGTGAATAGAGCTTCAAATGATATATTCTTTGTCATTAACACTCTTTTTTGTTTTACAATTTGCTGTTAAAATTGTTAGCATCAAATAATGCATTGAAAATTAGAAAAATAAAAAATCACACCTTTTTTTGAAATTGTAATATTGTTATCTTCAGGAATTTGTATATAAGGAATGGGTGAATTTAAAGGAACATTGATGGTTGATATATCTTTATTATGATTAAAGTCTTCTTGTGCATTTTTATTCTATAATAATTAAAATACATTATAATCATATTATCGCTTATCACATTCACCGTTTCATTACACAGTTAATAATACATGTCTTATGTTAATTGTTTTACCTTAAATGAATTTTGAAGAGCGGTAGCTTCTTTTATCATTATAGAACCGAATACTTCTTTAATAGATAAAGGTTTCGTAGATTTACTGGTAGAAATAGAAGTATTGGTATTATTTTGGTTATTCTTTTCACGTTTTGATCATCTTGTTGATGACATTGTGAAAGTATTATATAAAAAATATACTTTATATTTTTATACGTTTATATTCGTAGTTTAAATAGTTTATTTAAGTTATTTACCAGTAAAAAGTTTATTTAAGCTATTTAATAATAAATAAATATATAACAATAATATACATATATTGTACCTTAAAATTTAATATTCAATTATTTCAATTTAACTTGTAAATGTTTACTTGTTCATATAACAATTGCAAGAGAACTTTTTCAGGCCGTGCAGCCCTCTGTAAATATATGAAATCACACAAAGGCCATGCCTATTGGGAAACATTAAACAGAATTTCAAACATTTCTAATAAAAATAAAGTTGAAGAAATGGTATATATTTATTTTCTTAAAAACAATAAAATACAATATTCCTTTTTATATGTTGATCGCATTGTATAACCAATTACGTCTTTCTATTGCTATAGGAAGAAGATGATTTTGATGTAAATGATGATGTATATGAAGAAGGTGTTGATATATGTGAAGATGATGATATACGCGAAAAAGAAGATAAAAATATATACAAAGAAAATAATATATGTGAAAATGATGATAATTATATATGTGATGAAGATAATATATGCAAAGAAGATGATGATATTTACGAAGATGATGATATACGCAAAAGAGATGATAGTGTAGGTGAAGATGATGATATTTACGAAGATGATGATTATGTATGCGAAGAAGATGATATATATGAAGGTGATAATGATGTACATGAAGACGAAAACGAAAATAAAGATGATATGTATGATGGAAGCAATATAAATAATAGTGATACAGATGATATTGAAGAAGCATCTGAAGCTAAAAGTCATAATTATAATTTGTATTTTTCGGAACAAACAGAGCAGGTAACTTTAATCGATACTAGAACTAATTCATTTTAAAGTCTTCCATCCTTTCCAAATACTGCATATAATGAGTTTATGGAGCTTATATCAACACATTATCTTTCAGATTCGGCTGAAAATGATGTGTTAAAGTGGTTTAACAAATATTATCTTCGAAAAGATGCCGTTTTACCAAAGAATACAATAGAAGGGCATGATTTTGTTAATTCTATGAATATTGAACATTTGGTATATCTTAGAACAAAAGTCTTGGAATATAAAGATGAGATATATTATCTTCACCATCGTCCTATCTTTGATGCAATTAAAGAATTATTATCTAATAATGATATTTTAAAAACTTGTCAATGGGAATTTCTGGCAGATTATACTATTGGTAATAATGGGCAACGTAAACGTGTTTATGGAGAATAATGGACTGGAATATGATAGAAGTATGCTCAAGAATTAATTGGTGAATCAGAGTTAAAAAAAATATTATTAATAATCCTATACTCTGATGCTACTACATTAGACCAACTTGGCAAAAGTTCTGAACATCTAACCTATTTATCATTGGATAATATCCCTATTTGGCGTAGAAACAAATGTAATGCTAAAGTCTTTCTAGGGTTTTTACCTAAATTAAAACCATCGCATAATCATAAAAATAATAAAAGAAGCTATACATCTATTAAAAATATTATCAATACTGTTTTGATATTATAACACAACCAATATACAAATGTTTAGAAAATAATGGCTTTAATATTAAAACAAATAATCAAATGATTTGGGCCTTTCCTTTTCTTTTTGCATTCATTGGTAATCTACCCAAAGATGCAGTATTAACTTCAACCTATAATTCAAATTGATGCAAACGTTCTTGTCATATGTGTACTGTGATAATTGATAATATAAACAATCCCAATCTGTCCTGATCACAAATCGAATTATGAATACAGGATAATATGCAAATTATTTTGGATCACAATATTTGTCATGAATATTCCATTCATCTAATATGAAATATTTTTGGAAATTTCAGTAAGTAATCGTATTTTTATATGTAATTTTATTAATATAAACTAATAAATACATTTAAACTTTTATAGTGGACTTAATATCTATAGTGCTGCTATACCTGATTGCATATATCATTGTGATTTAGACTTATTTAATTATCAAGTTAATTTTGCTAGGAATTATATTCAATTATATTGTGAGTAAAATGGCATTGATGAATTTGATAAATGTTTAGCATTAATTCCACATTTTCCCGATCTTAAACTATTTAAAAATGGTCTTGAAAATATTGCAAGGTTTACTGCTGAAGAGTTTAGAGTATGATGAAGCAACTTGTTTTTGTTATTGATGGCTTAATTGTTTCGAAATGTAAATCAACATTAGAATCTAATTTAGTGAAACAATATGATAGCAAACTTGTTTATTTATTTATACTATAGAATAGGATGTATATTTTTAGTCGTAAAAAATCTTTTACAGATTTTGAACTTAATGAATTTCAGGTAAATTTACGATTTACAACTATTTAATTATAATATTTATACTAATTAGTGAATTCTAACATTTTAGAAAATGATCACAGATTGGATAAAAGAATTTATTGCCTTATTTATACCAATTATAAACACTGAAATGAAATACCCAAAGTAACAGGAGGGACCGTCCTAATTAAGGTAAATGGTTACACAATTCAATAAAATTTTTTTATACATTTTACAGTATTTTTTTGAGTGGTTTGTGTAACCTATCTTTGCATGAAAACCTGAACAAATGCATTAAGCAATCTTGAAGCATTTGCATCTTACTGCAATATATTTTTTTAATCCTCGTTAATCCCACACCTTTACATTGCTATTTACATATTAAAGACATGTCTGGGACAAAGAAATGTGCAGAATGCCAAGCTACTAATTCGTTCAAATTTTGTTCGTTAAAGGGAAAAAAGTGGAAAGAAACTAAAAGTAAAGACTTAATAAAGGTAATGTGAGAGGAAGGTATTATTTTATGTAATGTATGTTATATGTTATATGCGTTTTGTGGAAAACCCTCTAAAAAAAGTTCCAAGCGAGTAAAAACCACAAATGAAACATCACATATGAGGAAGAGGAGGAAAAGGTTACAAGGTACAGTCCTCTGGTTACACAAAATTCCAAATCTAGTAAGAAGATGATACATTGTTCAACCAATCAAAATCATGAATTTTAAAATCGAAATCACGTGATTCTCAAATTAAAAATTGCGAGTTAGATAAATTAATGTATTTATTTCATAATATAATAAACTAATTGAAAAATTGATCATAATTATATAATAAGAAATGACTAAAAGGTAAAAAAATTATATAACTAAATGAAAGAAAGATTTTTTTTTACAAATTTAAAAATAGTTCTTTTACGCGTTTTAATAAATTATCCGCTGTTATAATATCATCTATTGTCTCATCTATGACATTAATATCATCTTCAGTTGAATCTTTACTATTCTCTTCAACAGATTTCTGTTCATCAGATTTTTTCATTAAACTTGTTATAAGAGCATCGACATTTTTCTTAACTTCGCCTTGAAGATATCCTAAACATATCAAACATTTAAATTGACATCTTTGTAGGCAATGGTTATGATAACCATGCCCACATGCAAGAACAATACCATCAACCAAATAGTTAGCATATTCATAATACAAATAATTGCAAAGAATAGTGGTATTGGGTTTTTTAGAGGTGACAAAGCTTTGTGGAAGGTGACGATCAGTCACTTCATAATCTAAAGAAGGCAATTTATATGTATTAATACTATCAGATGAAGATTTAATAATCAAAGGATACATATGACGTATTTGGTATATTTTCATAAATATGTTTAAAAGCTCTATAGCACACTTCTGGAAAGTGTATTCAACTGCTTTGGTATATATAGATATTTAACAGCATTTATGAAATGATGTTGGAACGCATTATCATTTTGCTGCTGAAAAATGAAATGTGCCTCTTTCTGCAGTTGTTGAGCTGTGGAAAACTTAGCAGTACGTCATCGTATAATGCTGTGGATGGTTTTGATAAACAATCGCTTAGATAATCAAGGTTATTAGTAATCATGTTAATTATTGGATGATTAATCTCCATTCAATAAAAAACATCAGAAAAAAACATTAATGTGGCACGTTTGTAATTCCTCTGATCAAATCGAAGGAAAAGATCACTCCAGCAACGCATACAAGCTTCTTCATAAGCAGACTAATCGCCTCCTTGATGGTGAACTGCATAAACGTCAAGAGCTAAAGGAACTAGATTGCTCAGCAGATCTGTCAAATAAAGAAACTCGATATTCTTGCCTGTACGACCGATTTTCAAATAGACAACCTCAGCTATATCACCTCACGTCATACGTACGATATGGAGAATTAAGTCGATTCTCCATGGTCATGATTTATTACCAACATTCTTGTTTGCGCTAAATATACTTTTGTATATATCATTGAAAAAAAATGAATTCTGTAAAAATATGAGCTCGCGAGCATTTAAAGACACGTGGAGAGGACCCATCATAAGCAAAAAGATACAACAAAATTAGGAATGGTTTCATTATTGATGAGGAGCTATTGTGCAATAGCCTTACAAATGTAGAACTGTCTAGGCCAATCTGCAATAATAGGGATAGCATAGTTGGAAAGATATTCCTGCATCGGGTCTTGGTTATAAACAATTTGCAGAGCATTCATATATTCTTCTATACCTTTCAAGTTATTTTTAACAAAATTGAAAAGAATAACATTCTTAAAGCTCCACATAAGCCAAGCCGGCTTGCGAAAGCTCAGCTTGAACTGCTATAAAACGGCTTGCGAGCTGATCAAGCCGGCTCATACTGTGGCTCAGCTCATAGCACAGCTCAGCTCATCAGCTTGGATTTTTCATTTTTGAAAAAAACAATCCAGGAATATTAACTTTGAAGAAAAACGCTTTCGTCAACGATTTCTTCGAAGTTAATGATTCTGGAAACGATTTTTCGAAGTTAAACAATTCCGGCAATGATTTCTTTGAAAAAAAAATGATTCGGTAATATTTTCTTCAAAAAATAACGCTTCTGGAGCATTATTTTTAAATTATAATGCTTCCGGAGCGTTATCTTTAAATTATAACGCTTCTGAAGCGCTTCTTTTAAATAAAAACGCTTTCAGAGCGTTAAATTTAAAAAAATAACGCTTTTGGAGCGTTACATTTAATAAAAATGCTTCTGGAGTATTGTTTTTAAATTATAACGCTTCCAAAGCGTTTCTTTTATTAAATTTAACACTTTGGGAGTGTGTTTTTTAATTTATAACACTTCTGGAGCGTTTCTTTTATTAAATTTAACACTTCAGGAGCGTGTTTTTAATTTATAATGCTTCCAGAGCATTTCTTTTAAATAAAAACGCTTCCGGAGTGTTAAATTTAAAAAAATAACACTTCCAGAGCGTTACATTTAATAAAAACGCTTCTGGAATGTTATTTTTAAATTATAACGCTTCCGGAGCGCTTCTTTTAAATAAAAATGCTTCTGGAGCATTAAATTTAAAAAAATAACGCTTCCGTAGTGTTACATTTAATAAAACGCTTCTGTAGTGTTAACTTTAAATTACAATACTTTCAGAGCGTTTTTTTGAAGGAATAGCCTCTGTGGCTTTTCCATTGAAATGAAACGTTTCCGGAGGCATTTCCTTGAAGGGAATGGTTTCCAGAGGCTTTTTAAAGAAAAAACGCTCCTGGAGCATTTTTCTTTAAAAATTTCGCTCTAGGAGCCTTTCTTTAAGAATTTCGATCTAGGAGCGTTTTTTTTTTAAGAATTACGCTCCCAGAGTGTCGTTCTTTAAGAAATTCACTTACAGAGCATTGTTCTTTAAGAATTTCGCTGCAGGAGCGTTTTTCTTTTAGAATTACGCTCCGAAGCGTTTTTCTTTAAGAATTTCGCTCCAGGAGCGTTTTTTCTTTAAGAATTACGCTCCAGGAGCGTTTTTTCTTTAAGAAGCCTCTGAGAACAATTCCCTTCAAGGAAACGCTTCTGGAAACGTTTTATTTCAATGGAAAAGCCACAGAGGTTATTCCTTCAAAAAAACGCTCCGGAAGCATTATAATTTAAAGTTAACGCTCCAGAAGCGTTTTTATTAAATGTAACACTCTGGAAGCATTATTTTTTTAAATTTAACGCTCCGGAAGCATTTTTATTTAAAAGAAGCACCCCGAAAGCGTTATAATTTAAAAATAACGCTCTAGAAGCATTTTTATTAAATGTAACGTTCTGGAAGCGTTATTTTTTTAAATTTAACGCTCTGAAAGCGTTTTTATTTAAAAGAAACGCTCCGGAAGCATTATTTTTTTAAATTTAACACTCCGGAAGCGTTTTTATTTAAAAGAAACGCTCCAGAAGCGTTATTATTTAAAAATAATGCTCTGGAAGTGTTATAAATTAAAAAACACGCTCCCGAAGCGTTAAATTTAATAAAAGAAATGCTCCAGAAGCATTATAATTTAAAAATAATACTTCAGAAGCATTTTTATTAAATGTAATGCTCCGGAAGCATTATTTTTTTAAATTTAATGCTCCGGAAGCATTTTTATTTAAAAGAAGTGCTCCAGAAGCGTTATAATTTAAAGATAACGCACTGGAAGTATTATAATTTAAAAATAACGTTCCAGAAGCGTTATTCTTCGAAGAAAACGTTACCGAATCATTTTTCTTCGAAGAAATCATTGCCAGAATCGTTTAACTTCGAAGAATCATTTCCAGAAACATTAACTTCGAAGAAATCGTTGACGAAAGCGTTTTTCTTCGAAGTTAATATTCCTGGATTGTTTTTTTCAAAAATGAAAAATCAAAGCTGACGAGCCGAGCCGCGCCATGAGCTGAGCCACAGTATGAGCCAACTTGATCGGCTCGCAAGCCATTTTATAGCGGCTCGAGCCGAGCTTTCGCAAGCCGGCTCGTGAGGCTTGCGAGCTGGCTCGACTTATGCGAAGCTTTAAGAATGTTATTCTTTTCGATTTTGTTGAAAATAACTTAAAGGTATAGGAGGATATAAATGTTCTGCAAATCGTTTATAACCAAGACCTGATGCAGGAATATCTTTCCAATCATGCTATCCCTATTATTGCAGATTGGCCTAGACAGTTCTACATTTGTAAGGCTATTGCGCAATAGCTCCTCGTCAATAATGAAACCATTCCTAATTTTGTTGTATCTTTTTGCTTATGATGGGTCCTCTCCACGTGTCTTTAAATGCTCGCGAGCTCATATTTTTACAGAATTCATTTTTTTTCAATGATATATACAAAAGTATATTTAGCGCAAACAAGAATGTTGGTAATAAATCATGACCATGGAGAATCGACTTAATTCTCCATATCGTACGTATGACGTGAGGTGATATAGCTGAGGTTGTCTATTTGAAAATCGGTCGTACAGGCAAGAATATCGAGTTTCTTTATTTGACAGATCTGCTGAGCAATCTAGTTCCTTTAGCTCTTGACGTTTATGCAGTTCACCATCAAGGAGACGATTGGTCTGCTTATGAAGAAGCTTGTATGCATTGCTAGAGTGATCTTTTCCTTCGATTTGATCAGAGGAATCACAAACGTGTCCCATTAATGTTTTTTTCTGATGTTTTTTATTGGATAGAGATTAATCATCCAATAATTAACATGATTACTAATAACCTTGATTATCTTAGCGATTGTTCTGTCAAAACTATCCACAGCATTATATGATAACATACTGCTAAGTTTTCCACAGCTCAACAACTGCAGAAAGAGGCATATTTCATTTTTTAGCAGCAAGATGATAATACGTTCTAACATCATTTCATAAATACTGTTAAATATCCATATACACCAAAGCAGTTGAATACACTTTTCCAGAAGTGTGCTATAGAGCTTTTAAACATATTTATGAAAATATACCAAACGCATCATATGTATCCTTTGATTATTAAATCTTCATCTGATAGTATTAACACATATAAATTGCTTCTTTAGATTATGAAGTGACCGATCGTCACCTTCTATGAGGCTTTGTCACCTCTAAAAAATCCAATACTACCATTCTTTGCGATTATTTGTATTGTGAATATGCTAACTATTTGGTTGATGGTATTGTTCTTGCATGTGGGCATGATTATCATAACCATTGCCTACAAAGATGTCAATTTAAATGTTTGATATATTTAGGATATCTTCAAGGCAAAGTTAAGAAAAATGTCGATGCTCTTATAATAAATTTAATGAAAAAATCTGATGAACAGAAATCTGTTGAAGAGAATAGTAAAGATGCAGCTGAAGATGATATGAATGTCATAGATGAGATAATGGATGATATTATAACAGCAGATAATTTATTAAAATGCGCAAAATTATTATTTTTAAATTTGTAAAAAAAATTCTTTCTTTCATTTAGTTATATAATTTTTTTACCTTTTAATCATTTCTTATTATATAATTATGACCAATTTTTCAATTAGTTATTACATTATGAAATAAATATATTAATTTATCTAACTCACAATTTTTAATTTGAGAATTACGTGATTTCGATATTAAAATTCATGATTTTGATTGGTCGAACAATGTATCGTCTCCTTACTAGATTTGGAATTTTGTGTAACTAGAGGACTGTCCCCCCTGTACCCGAAGTTGCATAATTGGCATTATCATATTATTGATACTATAGCGTAATAATGGCTTTAGTACCAAAACTTATGAATCGCTATACAAATCATATGTCAAAACTCCATCCAGGATGAGTAATCGTCAAAATGCAACTTCACAAATAATCAATACAGTACATTATTTTTATAAAATATATCATATTTTTTTATTAATAAAAGTTGTTTAAATAATTATTTAGGTACGATGTGATAGTATTTTTAAATATTATCATCAAATAACTTCTTCATCTACAGTTAAAAAAACAACACCAAACTTCGACACTATGTGGTATTGAAGGCAATTTTACATTGTCTAACTTTAACAGCTTTATTAATACATATAAAATTTCACATCATTTAGCTTCAGAAGCCAAATAAGCATTTGATGTGCTAATTGATTCATTAAACGAGTATTTTGATTATATTAAAGACATTACAGATAAAGATATTAAAGAAACTCTTATCAAATGGTATATCAACATATTTATTGGAGGAACTGATACTATACAAGCCAAAAGTAATTATTATAGTATACCTGCTTTTAGTAACGTAGCAATTAACATGGATGAAGAAGAAGTTGAAAATTACAACACTTTTAATGGAACATGTTTTGCTAAAGTAAATTAAAATTTATTGATTTTTAAATTTTTTAATATTTATAACGAGTAACTAATCTCAAAATTATATTTTAATATAACGAAAGCTTCTAATGCTATTTACTTTAAAAATTCCTGGTCATGAAGTACAAGAATTAGCATTAGTTCACTGGTATGACTTTAAATACAGTAATTCACAATGACTATTTAAATATGATTGCCCTTTTATGAAAGTTATTCCGATGTTTACAATTATAGCAATTGATTCTATTATTGAACCGGTTCATATTATTTCACGTTTTGAAAAAACTAACGAATATTTTATAAATATATTTATTTTTTAAAAAAAAAAAATACAAATTATATATTACAGTTATATATTATTTACAATTATTTATTTACAATATATTTAAACTATAATTTTTTTCAACTAACATTAAACAAGATATTAAACAATGTTAAATTAATCAACATGTTGTTATATAAGCTAAACAATACATTAAACGATATTAAGTTAATTAGCATATTGTTCGATATTATTATAGTACTAATCATTACTATGTTCATCATGCTAAATTTACAGCTTTTACCAGCATGTCAGACTACATTTTTTTAAGTTACTGATAATAAAAACCTTTGGTCTAATTTGTGACCCATATTCAAAGAAGGCATATTATAGAAGAATTAATATAAAAGATTTATAGCCTTTTCTAAGTGATCTTAAGTTCATTAAATGTAATAAATAATCTGCTCCAATTATATAACTTATATAAAGAAGGATAATTGAGATATTCAAAGATTCAAAAAATGCTAAAGTATCTATATAACAAATTTCTCCAGATTGCAAAATTTTTCATGAACTCAATTCATTAAACCAATTACTACACATAAAATAAATGTCTTTCTCATACGTAAATCATATTCTTATAGAGCTACCTTTACCTGAGTTATTATATTTATTTACAACTCTATTAAATTTAAATAATGAACTACTATTATAATTCCCTAATGCTGTCTCACAATATTACTAAAATAGATTAAAAATATAATTATAATCAGAATTCATTGAGCGATTTATGAATAATACTAACAATTCCTATTCATCAGCCATACTAAAATAAAGTTGATATTTATAGATATATTACTGATCAAAATCAAAAAAATCACTATTTGTCATTTATTAGCAATTTGAATTAAATTCAGAAATCGGTCAAAAATCATCTAGCGTATTTATGATCGATTTATGGTAGATTAGAGTTGAGCCAAAAATCAACTCCAATTGATCCAATAGAACAATGCAAAAATTGTCTGATTGGAAAAATTATTCCAAAGATATAATAATAAACAATTGTTTTAAATTGAATGATACAATCATTATACCAAAAGAATAATTCAACATCATTTCAATTGGATGATACAAATCTGATAGGAATAATTAAAAATCATCCTAAAGGAATAATGAACTATCATTTTTAAAAATTGTTACTTTAGGATGATACATTATCATTCTTATTGAATGATTTAAAAATTGTTCCTTTGAAATGATACATTATCATTCATTAAGAACAATTAAAAAAATCATCACAAAGAAACGATAAATCATCATTCTTATTAAACAATTTAAAAAATTATCCTTTTGGAATAATAGATCATCATTCTTATTAAATAATTTGAATCATCCCAAAAGACGATAAATTATCATTCAATAAAAACAATCAAAAAAATTATCTCTTTGGGATGATAAATTGATTGTTCATTAAAAATAATTAAAAAAATATTCTAAAGGAACAATAGATCAATAATTTATTAAGAACAATTAAAAAATCATCCCAAAGGGATTATAAATCATTGTTCAATAAGAATGATCAAAAAAATTGTCACTTTGAGATAATAAATTAATTGTTCATTAAAAATGATTAAAAAAATATTCTAAAGGAATAATAGATTAATTATTTATTAAGAACGATTAAAAAATCATCCCAAAGGAACAATAAATTATTGTTCAATAAGAATGATCAAAAAAATTATTTAAAGAGATGATAAATATTCATTCATTAAGAACAATTAAAAATTGTTCTTTTGGAATGATATATCATCATTCAATAAGAATGATCAAAAAAATTATTTCAAAGGTCCGATAAATCATCATTCAATAAAAATGATCAAAAAAATCATTCCAAAGGGATGATAAATTGATAATTTATTAAGAACAATTAAAAAAATCATTTCAAAAGGACGATGAATTATCGTTCTTATTGAATGATTTAAAAATTGTTCCTTTGAAATGATACATTATCATTCATTAAGAACAATTAAAAATCGTTCCTTTTGGAATGATGATCATTCTAATCAAATAATAAAAAGTAATCTAATTGGAATAATCAAATCATCATCTCCTAAAGGATAATACAAATCATTCAATAGAAATAATGTTTCAATTAGATAATACAAAAACCATCCAATTGGCTAGTGTTACACTAAAATCATTAGGATGATCTTCCTAATGTAAATCCTTAGAAAACTATGTTAACTTTGTTAACTTCGTTTACGTCGTCTAGCTCGTTTACATAGTTTATTTAGTTTATT